CTCATGTCAACATTCAGCACCCCTGGCAAACACACTATAAATTTCAGACATCCCATTACCTTCGTGATCCCCAGTTTACATCCTTGCAGACTGAAATGCAGATGGTAAGGCAACATCCTCAGTGCCCACAGCAAGATGCGATGGAGCTGTGCTCTGCCCTCCAGCACCACTTACTGATGTGACCTCAAGCACAGTTCCAGGACTCACTGACCCAGGGACTCTGGAGAGCTGCTTTCAGGAGGACTTTTCAATGGAACCTGCTTCCTGAGGTGGGGACTTTCCTCTGACCATGACACCCTCATACTCTGCAAGCCATTCACTGTGAAGGTTTACTTCCAAGAATCATGCATGTTCTCTCACCCAGTGCAGTGGGAACTGTGTTCCCTGAGCTCCAATGTCACTGGCTGTGACAGAGTTACAAATGAACACTTCTAGAAGGAGTGAGTCTGTGCACTGTGACCAGATTACCTGCCCAGCATGTTGGAGTCCTGAGGAGCTTCCAGGAGCTGTCTGCTCTCAGACCTTGCTAGCCCTGGGGATTCCTCAACGTCCACCCGCAAGGAAGGGGCCCTGAAGTTCGCGGTGTTCCTGCAGACACTCAGTTATGCACAGGAAACAGGTAGGTAAGGCTACTGGCCATGTCAGCAGTGCTGGGATCCATGACCATCTCAGTAAGAATGACTACCTTTTCCACAAAATACACGGTGTGTTTAGTTGTTAAGAGTAAATCCACCTCCAGAGCAACTCTTGATAATATTTCAACTGCTTCAGGTGAAGAAATGTTCACCCAAATTAAGGGAAACATGAAATCCGTTGTGAATTATGATAAACATTAAATTTTACCTAACTGTGTCTGAATTCAATGTCATTATTACATGTATGGTTTGTCTCAAATACTTGCACATCCAAGAAATAAACATGAGGTAATGCAGAAAAGAAAAAACAAGAGTCTGTGTCTGACATCTTGGAGGACCCTGAATGTTTGATGGGTATTTATGTGAAATATATACATCCATGGGATTAAAGTCTATTCCCCAAATCTGCCGTTAATCCTTGAGCACAGCTGATTTCCTCACTAGCCCTTCAGCATCATTTCATTCCAGGACAAAGAGACCCCCAGGCATAGGGAGAGGACCCCAGGTGGGGCTGCGTTCTCTGAGGGCACAGTCAGCACCCTCCTCAGGTGGAGCCCCAGAGACTGGGACCTCCCTTCACTACTTTCCGATTTTTATAGACTGGTCCCTCCCGTATGCAAACATCCCCTTATGTCACAAGGTAAAAACAAAGTACCAGTTCACTTAAATTCGGATTTCTCCTCATGCTTGAATAGATTTTCTGGGCTTCATGAATCCCACCTGCAAGAAGATGAATCCACTGTGGTTCTTCCTCTTTCTGGTGTCAGCTCCCAGAGGTGAGTTTCTCAGGGATTCAGACGTGAACACATGGGGAAACTACATCTGAGCCCATGAGTCACCGTGATTCTCTCTGTCCACAGGTGTCCTGTCCCAGGTGCAGCTGCAGGAGTCGGGACCCAGCCTGGTGAAGCCCTCACAGACCCTCTCCCTCACCTGCACTGTCTCTGGATTCTCTTTAACCAGCTATGCTGTAGCCTGGGTCCGACAGCCTCCAGGAAAGGGGCTGGAGTGGGTTGGGGGAATATGTGGTGGTGGAGGCGCATATTATAACCCAACTCTTAAGTCCCGGCTCCGCATCACCACGGACACCTCCAAGAGCCAAGTCTACTTATCGCTGAGCAGCCTGACAACTGAGGACACAGCCGTGTATTACTGTGCGAGAGACACAGTGAGGGGAAGTCAGTGTGAGCCCAGACACAAACCTCCCTGCACGGAGGCCCGTTACCACCAGGGGTCGCACAGGACCCAAGAAGTGCAGGGCTGAGGCCTGCAGCAGGTGTATATATGGGCTGGGAGGGGGTTCTTGTTAGAACCTGTGCTTTCCCCTTCCTGCTCAGGACCTCCACCAGACACCCTCTTCTGTATCCTACTATTTCATTGTTGTGGATTATGTTGTGTCTAGAAAATTTGTGTGCATGTACATATTTGCTTAATTTTATTTTTATTATAGTTATATATATATAAATATATCTATATCTATACATACACACACACATATAGTATACAGGAATTAAGGTTGTTTTTCATCTCTTTAGTTTTCTTTTTCACAAAGGAGCTCAGTACAACCCTGAGCCTCACCGTAATGTTCAGTGTGAGACTGATGTTTGTGAAGCTGGTAAATATCCCAAGAAGGCACATGAGACTTTTAAACATTATTAATTTTTGTCCTGTTTTTGTACATGTGGAAGGAAGAGACACACCGTCCTGCTTTCAGGCAACCTGCACAAGCAGGTTGAGTTCTGCAACATGCAGTGTTACAGACTCTAGTGCCAGAGCGCCCCAATTCGGCACATGCAATGATCCTCGTTATTCACAGATTACATATTTTCAAATTCAGCTACTGGCTAGCTTTTATTAGCACCCCAAAATGAATGCTGTCATTTTGTGATCTTTCACGGACATTTACAATGTGGCCGGTTCTTTGAATCACCCAACACACACACACACACACACACACACACACACACACACATTCCCATCTGAGGTCAGTCAAGGAGATACTCCCTTTTCTTCTTTTAACCCCCGTCCTGTACTTGAGCACTTTCTGGGGTCAAATTAGTGCCATGCTTTTCACATTTCCGTGATTCTTGGCGATTGTTTAAAGTAGTCCCAGGCGTAGGGCTGAGGAAGAGTCTAGTGTCCCTTCGCACAAGTGGCTGTGAGTGGACTTAGGGAAAATGTACATGAGACATCAGCTTCATTCAGGCATGATTATATGGCCATGGGCTGTGGGATTGATATTCATGTATCCAATATAAATCTCATGCAGAACATGAAGACAAAACTCGCTGCTGCATATGGGATGCAGCTTTGGAAAATTGGCCTTATTCCAAATACAGCATTTCAAGTGGGGTCTTATGGCCAAGAAGAGGGTGGGGTGGAGTGGACTGGAAATTATTAACAGAAGAAATACAGGCTAAGGGGGACCTTAAGCTGTATTTACATAGACTCAAAAGGATTTTTGCCAAAGGCTGACCAGGGTGATCAGATATCATGTGGGTGATAGGGGGTTTGAAGGATTTGATCAAATACTGCGGGTGATCAGAGTTCAAGGGTAGGGGATTCTCATTATTCTCACTTAGCAGGGCTCTTGACAAAACCTGGCCATGCACATATAAACACAAAAGCCCACAGGTCAACACTGGTTGAGAAGAGAATTACAAGCATCCTGTTGGCTAAGGGGTGGTCAAGGGTCTTTGTCACACTTAAGAAGAGTAATAATGAACATACAAGTGAACCAGGGATGCACACAGACACACAGAGAAAAGACCATCTGAGGACTCAGTGAGAAGAGGTCCACCTGCAAGCAAAGGAGAAAGGCCTCAGAAGGACCCAAACCTGCTGACACCGTGACCTTAGACTTCTTGCCTCCAGGCCTGAGAGGAATCCATTTCTGTTGTTTAAGCTGCACAAACTGTTTTTCTGTAATGACCACATTAGCGGATTATACACAACTGCTATAGAAGCAGATAGACATATATGGAAATGTAAGTATCGTATTGGAAAAGAAACATCACTCATCCTCCAGGAATGACTTAATGATCATCCCCAAAAAGACGTATAAGTGTCCACTTTAACATTCTTTAGAATTCATAATAGAGTGCAGAATGATTTCTGGATAAATTAATGTCAGAAATATTTCTTCATGAGACTTTTATTTGAAATTTAGGTCACTACCTACTCTTATTAGTTGTCAAGTTTTTAATTGTTTAATGACATAAGTGATTCTTCTGTTGAACTTCAAATCTACTTCCAGCTTCAGATGGATTTCCAAGTTCTTTCAGCGTGAAAAATCTCCCCAGTGCTGTTTGATGCAATACCTTTCACTGGAATAGTACGAGTATTGTTTATATTTGGAATTTGATGTCCATATAACACTGGAGTCATTTTCTCCCCTAGAGGACATTTGGAAATATCTAGACACGGGTTGGGCTGTAACATTTGGGCTGTGCTGTCAGTACCTAGTTATCTAGTGGGTAGAGTCCATCCGTGCTGACACACATCCTACAATGCACACGACATTATGAGCCACGTGCAAGTCCCCAGTAAAAATGGAGAGAATATCTCTTTTACCAAGGGAAAAGGGGAGTCGAAAGGGCTATAGAGAACTGAGTCTATGGTTTCTCTTTGGCTGAGTTCTTGCCAGAAAATTAGAGGTAAACTTTCTTCTTCTTGTTGGATTCTGAGATCGTCAAAGGGCATGAGAACCTCCCTTCTCTTAACCCAATTTTATTTGAGTTTTTATTCATTATTATTATTATTGTTGTCATTGTTTTTATTTTACTTTTTCCGCTTTTTTTACAACTATCTTCTAATTTTAATTGGAGTTAAAGGTTGGACTAGACAATAACATTTGGAATCAATTAAATATAATTTTACCATTTTCTCTCCATGACTTGTTATAATTATCCCACCATGAGGTAATGAATGTTATTGCAGAGAAAAGCTTATTTTTTACTTTCTAATTTTTATTGTTTTAATTAGTTATTTTTATTGAAGAATATTTGATTTATAATGGGTTAGTTTCAGGTATACAGCAAACTGATTCAGTTTTATATATATATATATATATTACAAAATATTATTACAAAATATTGTTACTTATTACAAAATATTGAGAATGGTACCCTGTGATATATAGTAGGTCCTTGTTGATTATCTATTTTATACATAGTAGTGTGTTTATGTTAATCCCAAATTCCTAATTTATCCCTCCCTCTCACCTTTCCCCTTTGGTAGCCATGAATTTTATTTTGAAGTCTCTGAGTCTGTGTCTGTTTTATAAATAAGATCATTTATATCATTTTTTTAGAATCCATATATAAGTAATTTCACATTTTATTTGTCTTTCTCCATCTGACTTACTAAACCTAGTATAATAATCTCTAAGTCTATCTACGTTGCTGCAAATGGCATTATTTCATTCTTTTTTTATGTCTGAGTAATATTCCATTGTATGTATGCACCATATCTTCTTTATCCATTCATCTGTCAATGGACATTTAGGTTGCTTCCATGTCCAGCATATTGTAAATACTGCTGCAGTAAAAATTGGGGTGCATGTATCTTTTCAAATTATAGTTTACTCTGTGTATATTCACAGGAGTGGGATTGCTGGATCATATGGTAGCTCTATTTTTACTTCTTTAAGGAACGTATATACTGTCAACCACAGTGGCTGTAGCTATTTACATTCCCACCAACAGTGTAGGAGGGTTCCTTTTCTACACACCACCTGCAGCACTTATTATTTGTAGCCGTTTTGATGATAGCTATTCTAACTGGTCTGAGGTGATGCCTCATTGTAGTTTTGATTTGCATTTCTCTAATAATTAGCGATGCTGAGCATTATTTCATGTACATTTTGGCCATCTGTATATCTTCTTTAGAGAAATGTCTATTAAGTCTTCTGCCCATTTTTTGATTGTATTGTTTGTTTTTCTGATATTGAGCCTTATGATCTGTTTGTGTACTTTGGAGATTAATCCCTTGGTTGTTGCATTGTTTGCAAATATTTTCTTCCATTCAGTAGGTTTTCTTTTTTTTCTTTCAATTTCCTTTGCTGTGCAAAAGCTTTTAACTTTAATTAGGTCCCAATTGTTTATTTTTGGTTTTATTTCCATTACTCTAGGAGACAAATGCAAAAAGATATGGCAGTTATGTCAAAGGATGTCTGCCAATGTTTTCCTCTGTTTCATAGTATACATTTATACAATGGATACTATAAAACTCTTAGTATCCATTTATATATATTTATAGTACACATTTAGATATTTAATCCCTTTTGAGTTTGTTTTTGTGTATCGTGTTAGAGAATGTTCTAATTTCTTTCTTTTACATGAAGCTGCCAATTTCACATCACCACTTATTGAAGAGACTGTCTTTTCTCCATTGTATATTCTTGCTTCCTTTGTCATTGATTAATTGACCATATGTGTGTGGGTTTATCTCTGGACTTTTTATCCTGTTTCATTGAACTATATTTCTGTTGTTGTGCCAGTACCACACTGTTTTGATGACTGTAGTTCTGTAGTATAATCTAAAGCTAGGGCGCCTGCTCCCTCCAGCTCTAATTATCTTTCTCAATATTTCTTTGGCTATTTATTTGGGGTCTTTTGTGGTCCCATAGAAATTTTTTTAAAATTTCTTCTAGTTCTTTGATAAATGTTAGTGGTAATCTGATTGGGATTGCATTTAATCTGTAGAGTATGGTGCGTAATATCCTCATTTGACAATATTGATTATTCCAATCAAAGAACATAGTATATCTTTCCATCTGTTTGTGTCATCTTTGATTTCTTTCATCACCATCTTATAAATTTCAGAGTACAGATCTTTTCCCTCCTTAGGTAGGTTTATTCCTAGGTGTTTTATTTTTTTTTTTCATGCCATAGTAAATGGAATTGTTTCCTTAATTTCCCTTTCTGATCTTTGTTTTTAATGGGTAGAAATGCAACAGATTTCTGTGTATTAATTTAATATCCTGCAACTTTACCAAATTCATTGAGAGTTCTAGTAGTTTTCTGGTAGCAGCTTTAGGATTTTCTATGTATAGTATCCTGTCATCTGAAAACAGTGACAGTTTTACTTCTTTTCCAATTTGGATTTTTTTAAATTTCTTTTTCTTCTCTGATTGCCATGGCTAGGACCTCCAAAACTATGTTGAATAAGAGTGGTGAGAGTGGTCATTCTTGTCTTTTTCCTGATCTTAGTGGAAATGCTTTCAGTTTTTCACCATTGAGAATGATGTTTGCTGTGGGTTTGTCATATATGGCCTTTATTATGTTGAGGTAAATTGCCCATTTTCTGGAGTGTTTTTATCATAAATGGGTGTTGACATATACATGGAATCTAAAAAAAAAAAAAAATGGTCATGAAGCACCTAGGGGCAAGATGGGAATAAAGACACAGACCT